AATAAAAATAATAAAAGTTAAGACTTTAAAAATAAAATAAAAAACTTGTTTTAAAAAATTATATTGTATTTTTCAAACAGTCATATAATCTGATGATTACAAACTAATATAATCAACAGAGAGGTAGCGACTTGCGCCTCTACATTAAATATTGATTTGTGATCACATGTGGATGTGATCAAGAGAGGGACTGTGAATATTTAATTACTATTTGCTTGCTAAAATATCATGTTAAACAGTTCAATATAGTTCAAAGGCGTACACTTGTACTTTAAACTGCTTACAAAAGCATAAAACAGATAAAGTGTTGATGTACAGAACATGAGATAATACTATCTCATGTACATTGGAGTTTGGTCCATTACGAAGACATGCTTAGATCATAGTTATGACATCTTTGGCCATCTCAACTGAACATTGAAACCATACGCTTTCTTCTGCATAGTCATGCTTCCAAAGTCTATGCTTACCTAATCATTTAAGGTGTTTAAAAGGAGCTCCTCTTCACCTTTACAATCAGACTTCTGCAGCCAGACTTCTGACGGGAAGCTGCGTTGTGCTTGATCAGACTACGCTCAAACCTTCTGATAATAAAAACTCTATTTTGAACTACGCAGTTTGTCGAAGTCTCTTTTTGTCTTACGTCTGGGAACAATTCAGTTTCATATACAGCAGTAAACTCTCCTCTTCATGCTTTTGGCCTGATGAGTGATTGTAATCTGTTTGTTCCCATTAGCACAGCTGTGAAAGCAACAGGGGAACAATGCGATCAAAGGTGGTAGAGATGATAAGTTAAGTACAGTGTTCAGTTGGTTGAGGTGGATCACACCCTGATAATTATGTTTCAGAGCGCTAAGTCATAGCATGTGACATTTAACGGTTTGATTTGTGTTTGAAAAACCTATGTTGATTCTAAATATAAACACTAAAAGAAGAGTTCAGGATTTTAAATATCTTGCATCTCAGAACATGTTTTATTATCAACAAAGACATTTTAGAATTGAATACACATAACTGTACGTGTTGTTAACTGTTTATACACTTACCATATAACATTGAGAACTAAGATTGAGAACATTTGTAGATTTCATTGCAAAATTACAAGAGTCTCAATGGATTAACAAAACAAAAAGTGTGTATAAAAATGGTCTCCAAACGCAAAAAACTTAAAGCTGCACTAACTGATTTTGAAACAGCTTTTCCCCCCCACTACCCCCCTCCCCCATTTGAACGTGGATGGCTTGACCATAGAATGATTGAACCGGGAAGCACGGAGGAACGAGACATTCTTTTGGATGGCTGTTTCACTGAGTAAGCAGAAACCGGTAACACGTTAGCCTCCGCCGCATGTTTACCTCAGCTGTCTGTGCTAACAAGAGACCTGTGGCTTTTCTCGAGAAAGTGGGGGCCAGTGGTCCGCTGTGATTGGTCACAATCTGACACCCAAAACACATTCTCTTCCTTGTTTCACAAAAACCCGATCTAAAATAAAATGACACGCCAGCACAAATCTGCGCTACTTTTTCTTCAAAAGGACGTATATCCCAATGCATTGCATGGATATGGATTGAATTTTTGTAATGAATACGAAAATAAAGTCAGTTGATTCAGCTTTATTAAATCCAAAAATGTCTGTGATATTGGTTTGAATAATTGCTTCCGCTTGGCAAAATGTATTTTTTAATGACTCAACATTAACATCCTGTACCTCGTAACTTTAACAAGCTCAAAGATTATTATCACAGTGAAAGAACTGGAAGCCTGAGGTTAAACAAAACTAGTTTTAATTTAAATCATACAAATAAACACAGTGTTTATTATTAGTTGCCAGAGGAGGCAAGTGACTAAGTTTGTTGACTTAAATACTATACTTACATTGTTACTGGTTTTATTTGAGTATGGGTTAGGTTTATCTCCTTACTTATAAACTTATGTACAATTACATGTGAAGATCTCCAGCAATTTCCTTTGTATACCTGAACCATTTATATCTCTTTTATTACTTATGTTTCCAGTATTTTTGCCACCTCTACTAGTCACTCTCTGAAGGAACGGTGACTTTTCCCACCGTTTGAATCTGCCCCCGTTGTAAACACAATTATGTTTGGGAAAATACCATCAGCACATTGAAACAGTTGAACTCCCTGAGGTGCTGCGGCTTTGGCTCAGCTCCATCTTTCTGTTCAGTAAAACGTATGAAGAGAAGACCAATCCTTCTGTCAACTTCAAAGTTGACAAAAAGTTGATGGTCTTGACAACATTCAAGCTGACCAAACAGTCAACAAAATCCCTACAAAGATGGAAGAGAATGTGATGAAAAAAAAAAAGTATGACTTGAGTCGGAGGGAAAGTGATTTTGGAACTCTTTTAATAACACAGGAGGGAATAAAAACACATATGCACTGACTTCAACAAAAACAAACAGGGTATTCTAACTGAAAAAGTATAGCTTATAAAAGTCATCTTCACGTACAATGTTCCTTTCAAGCTGAACATTCAAGTATTGTACCAAGTTATTATTATTATTATTCTTTCGTCACTCCATAAAACAGAATATACTTGAACTCTTCTATTTGAGGAACGACCTTTACTGTCATGGTGTGGATTTTTAGTTATTTTAAACTTGGCTTTATTTTGACTATAGTAAGTAAGTTAGTAAGTAAGTTTTTATTTATATACCGCCTTTTCACTGCAGATCTGAGCCTCAAAGCGGTTTACAATTGTTAATTTTGGGCATTTGTCTCTCACTCCACACAGAGATGGGAGCGGGGCCAGTGCAGGAGGCGCATGCCAGAACTATTGTACATATTTTTAGTGGTAGGGGAAACCGGAGTACCCGGAGGAAACCTACGCAGACACGGGGAGAACATGCAAACTCCACTCAGAAAGGCCCTGGTCCGACCAGGATTCGAACCCAGGATCTTCTTGCTGAGAGGCGAGAGTGCTATCCACTCAGCCACCGTGCCGCCTATAGTGATCTGTGGTTTAATTTTTGTTTTACTTCCGTCTTGATGGTCTGCCCCGCCCTGATGTGTGTATTTGTATTGTATTCATTGTATTGTCATTGTGTGTTCTGTTCTGTTCTGTGTTTAGTTTTTGCCTTGGACTTTTATTTTTTCATCATTATTGAGTCCTTCATCACTTCACTCCATGACATTTACTGTGTAATACAGTCATACCAAATACTGAAACTAAGAGATTAAAACAAATAAACCAAAACATGTTACTTTGACGTTTTCCAAGGCTGCAAGCTTCTCCAGAAATTATGATGATACTAATGTTGCTTGGATCATTGGGAAATACTTTACTAATACTTGAGCGAGATCAGTCATGTTTCCTTCAATCATCTTCTGACTGCGTAAATCAAATGATATCAAATTCAAAATGAAGTTGAAATGGAAGCTGATGAAAGATCAAACTTACAAGTCATCACTGGATGGATGGACAACTCATCCAGCTGCTGCTACTTACTTCCATTAAGCAACATTTAAAGAGAAAACAATATTTAATTCATAGAAATGCATTATCAGAGTGTTCCATTTACAGGGAGCATAGTTGGAGAAGGCTGCTTTTTACAACTTAAGCCTCACACAATGAACGGCGAGAGGATTGAGGTCCAAGGATTGGAGAATATGAACAGTTTCATAAGGCCAAGTCGATTAGAGATATGGGTCAGGTCACGGGAAAACGGGAAACATTTAGCTATAGTCTATGATGACACCACAGTCATTTACAAAACCTGGGGCCGCCAGAACCAAAGGTGAACTAATATTTTTCCTATATTTACTTTGGTCATTTCATTTGAATTTTGTCGCAGAACGTTGCTTATCATCCATTTGGTGATAATTTCCATATGTTCATTCAGATTGGGATTATAAACAGGTACAGAGAAGCATAACCGTAGTATTGGATAATGTTTGTGTATTTATATTCTAACCAAGAATAAGTAGCTACAAATTGACCAACAGTGGGCCTGTTGGAATGCTGTTGAACTACCCATGCTTCAACTTGAACAATGAAGAGGAGTAAAAAATCTCTATCCCTGGGGTTGCTGTTGAACCATTCTAGATATTATGTTGGAGAGATCCACGGAATGGGGCTGCCTGTGCAGGAGCACGACGAGTTTAACTTGTAAACTTACATCCTCAGTTACAGTTCCCAGATATTATATGTTGAATGACATACTGTGGAAAAGGGCTACAAAATTGTTCACAATTAGATTGAAGTTGCAACAACATTACTTACATACACATATGTTTGAGCCGCCTGTACTGGAATTTCTATATAAATCCAGAGTTCTTAAGATAATCAATGACTCTTCTAGCCGCCCTGGAGAAGCCATGTTCCAGCTTCTTCCCTCTGGCAGAAGACATTGTTCGCTGAGATGCAGGACATCTTCTTTCCACAAGCTGTTTTCAGTTTAAACAGAGCACTTTAATTATTGCACATGTATTGAAACTGTATTTGTTGATCAATTTCACAGTGACAATTGTTTCCTGCTCTTTAATTTGATTTAATTCTGTACTTTATGTATGTACTGTCTTGTGCACACTGGGGACTTTTAGCAAATGTATTTCCAATGTGTTTTTACTGCAAATGGCAAACAAACTGAATCTGAATCTGTTTACAGTTAGAAACATACCCGAGTTTAATGTGTCTCAGTTAATATGTAATTGTTTATATCCTTCTAGATAGACGAATGGAGGGGGGGGCGTACGGAGGTAGATAGAGAGAAGTCAAAGTATATCAAATAATACAATATAGGTTTAAATTCTTTGTTACTTTCCTCTAATGAAGCAGCTTTAATATACACGTTCATAATGCAGGCTAGGCGAAAGGGGGAGGATCGTGCCATGATGTGTAGGTAAAGGAAATAGCTGCAGGGTGAGTGATAAACAGAGACGGGCGCATATTCTCACGTAACAGCAGTTGTGTGCTGGAAGCCACTGCTGCAATTAGGAGCCCAGGGAGGTGGCTGAAACATTGGGAGAAAGTGGAATATGGCTTTGCTGCCACTGATATTACTGGTAAGTGCCTAATGCTAAAATTAAAGTTTAAAAACTGGTATTGGCAGGGACTTTCAATAATGCAAATCTTGTGGTTTACTTGTGGCTTAAGGAACTGAAATGAAATAAACACATGATCTATTTTAGGTTCCTACAATAAAGTTACCCTTTATTTTCAGAAATGTAACAATAAAATGTACCGATCCAACTTTGGCTACTATAATTATATGGAAGCTGCGTGACTTTTTCGCAGAATAGCCTTAGGAAATATATCAATAAGATGTGGGTTTGTGTACTTTAGCATTCATTGTTTTCTCAATATCAAACCAAAAATAGAAAATCTGAAAATTAACCTGTAATTGACTTTCTCAATTTGAAAACGAACATTGAAAAAACCAAAATGTTTCTGTTATTTGTTTGTTTATCTTGTTTACTGCAGCTTGTAAACTGAGCTGAGGGATCTGAGGCCATAGTGACTGTTGAGACCTCGATGACTGTGGATAGTGTGATATTTTAACCTTGTTTGAGGCTTTGGGCTCAAAGATTGGATTGTCATCTGTTGCTTCACGTTAGCAAACTTTACAAATACATGCGGCACTGTGGGTTAGGTTTATGATTTTTTACAAATGCATTCTTGTGTGTTTCACTGGCTGTTGTGTGCAGTAAAAGATCGACCAATCATAGAAACCCACAAATCAAACATTCAAATATTTCAGTCCTCCTTTGGATATTTGACAAATCGGTGAAGGTCATAGACTTCATTTAGTTGGGAAAGATTCATACAATAATATTTCAACTTTATAATAAAATAAAACAGTTTGTATCTATAATTTATTCTGTGCAATGAGCAGCTTTGCTAACAAGGCCAGGCTTATTTGCAATTTATACACAGGGCAGTTCAAAGTGCTTTATTTTTAACGTGTCTAAGTTATTATTATCGTGAAAAAACCAAGAAAGGAAGTTTTCAAATAAAATAAGTAAGAACATATGTATAATCACAGTTTATTCATTATTTTAAAGTAATACACAAACAATATACAGTACAGACCGAAAGTTGGGACACACCTTCTCATTCAAAGAGTTTTTTATTTTCATAATTACGAAAATTGTAGATTCAAAACGATGAATTAACGCATGTGGAATTATGTACGTAAAAAAAAAATTAAAAAAAAATTAAACAACTGAAATTATGTCTTATATTCTAGATTCTTCAAAGTAGAACCTTTTGCTCAGATTACTGCTTCACACACTCTTGGTATTCTCTTGATGAGCTTCAAGAGGTATTGACCTGAAATGGTCTTCCAACAGTCTTAAAGGAGTTCCCAGAGATGCTTAGCACTTGTTGGCCCTTTCGCCTTCACTCTGTGGTCCAGCTCACCCCAAAACCATCTGGATTGGGTTCAGGTCAGGTGACTGGAGGCCGGGTCATCTGGCCCAGCACCCACCACTATCCTTATTGGTCAAATAACCCTTACACAGTCTGGGTGTGAATCTACACTCAATAGTCATGAAAAGAAAGGAACCTCATTGAATGAGAAAGTGTGTCCAAACTTTTGGTCTGTACTGTACATCGTCAGAGAAGTAGACTTTAGCTGCATAAAACTGAAATGCTGCTTCTACATCAGGCATGTCCAAACTCAGGCCCGCGGACCAGGTCTGCGTCGCTAACACACAATATCATAGATACCCGGATCACAGTGTCATACATCCAACTTCAGTTCTACCATTATATGTATGTTATATCTTGTTGTAAAGCTTGTTTTTGTATGTACTCGTTGATTGAGTTGCTATCGTAGCCAACACCAACCTTATTAAAGTTGACTTTAAAGTTCAAAGCAGTTTTTCAATCCAGGTTGTCAGCCCGTGGACAAGGGCCAATTACCAAAAAGTTTGGACACCCCTGTTCTACATGTTTAGTCCTTACTCTGGGCAACTATCCAATCCAACTTTATTTTAAAACACTTTGATTACCAGTGCTGTTTTTAAAGTGTGTTAAAATAAAGTTGTGTATTTTTTTCTATGTATTGTACTTTGATTACCAGTGCTGAAAAACAAAGTTCAAAAACATAATTCAATTAAAGTGGATGTAGGTTACTTTTAAAATTGTTAAAGAGAGCGATAAACTTTTAGAAGATAATCACTTGGAAAAAATACAACCACAAACCACTGTAATATGTTAGTAATTTTTTGAAATATATTTTATTTAACCAAAGTCCCATTGAGATGAAGAACCTATTTTTCAAAAGTTACATACAGTTACATAAAATTACAGATGATAAAAACAGTTACATTTCGATGAGGAAGTCTCAAGTGCCCTCAATCTGGATCTAAAAATCATTCAACAAAATTAGTTCAGATAATTTCCAGTCTTTTTGTAGAAATTTACTTTTTATATTTTATATATTTTTTCCCAGTTCCACTGTGTATTGTGTATAAGAATAAAAACACAATTGACTTCATGTTGTACAGATGCTGCGTTGCATGAGCTGCAGTGGTGCCAACTACAGACAGAAGAGGGAATGGCTCATCCCCGCAATTATGCTAAAGGAAAACCAAAACTACATGAACTCCAGCCACATCGCAAGGGTGAGTCCAGGTAGCCTGGCAGCCAGGTGTCGGTGATATCAAGAGTTTGCACTGAATTTGCTGGTTGTAGTCTGCCAATGGCGGTAAATGCGATAGAAAAGCAAGCTCTTCAATTCGTTCTGGTTCAGCTCCCAAATGTCAAGATATTGAAGCCGGAGCAAGAGGAATTTTTAGTAAAATTCAGTGCTGGAAAAGATGTTGTGGCTCTACTTCCCCCGTGCTCCGTTAGTGGCAAAGGAGATGGCTTGGGTAAATGCTATATGTTTCACTTACTCGGGCGCATAACATACATCAACACCAGATCCAAATTCAGATCCAATCCTTTTAATCTGCGAAAGGAGTTCACCCCTCCCACCTAGCAGAGCTCAATTTAGCAAATCCAGACCTAAGTACAAGAGGAAATGAGTACAATGGTGTGGTAAGACCAGGCTTCAGTCGAGGGAGACGGAGACGGAGACACTATGTGAAAAACAGTACATGACACATTAGCCTGCAGCAATCTTAATTCACAAGCCATTTCATGTCTCATATCTTGGGACAGTTAAACTATTGAAAATAACCATGAAAGCTTGCGTATAGGGAAGTTCATGTGGATCAGTGAGGGCAGGTCTGTCTCATGATGGGACATGAGCGGTGAAGAGAAAAAAAAGAGATAGACCATCTGCGCTCACAGCCCTGAGACACCATATAATCATTTTGAAATCTGCAATCAAGACCACAAGTTCAGACCAGACCACTGCTGCACTTCCAAAAGATGCAAATTGGCTTTGGTTATGACCACAGGATTCACACACACACACACACAATCAAACACTCACACACACACACACACACACACACACACACACTCACACGCAACAGAAACCAATTTTCACAAGTAGGCATCAGGCAGGAGCTTGATGTACTGCGGTGATAACTGATACTGATTATTGTGATGGAGATTTGCTTCTGCGTTTATGTTTTATTGAAAAAAACATGTGTACATTATTTGTTTTTATAGATCGTAGATATCTTGCCTTGTGCCATCGTTCCACACCAATCTCGTATAGACTCATTACCTCATCAGTGCGGAACATTTATGGACTTTATCAACATTTATGGACATTGGTCATTCGCTCCGTATGGACCAATGGCTTGATGTTTTTGTTTTGTTTTTTTTATCCTCCGAGATAACTACTGTTGGGATTGAATATTGAACAAAATACAAAAATTGAATTGGAAGCAAAGCATCATTGGCTCATGTGAAGATCTGAGAAAGTTTACTAGTACAACATGTAAACAGAAGCTGTGCATCAGGACCAAACATTTCTCTAGCTAAAATTTGGAACGGTCTTCCTGAAAATTTGAGAAAGGCTTCTTCTCTGACAATGTCCAAGTCCATGTTGAAAACAGTCCTGTTTAGCTGTGCACACAACTGAAGGATTTTATCTTCACTGTACTGGGATTATGTATGATTCTAATGCCATGTGTGACTATTTGACTTTGAGGTGTGTATGTGTCATGAAAAAAACCTGCCTTGCCATTCTAAGTTGGTATAAACAGTCAAAATTCAACTTTTACAACCTGGTTTGTTTCTCAGCACCACAAACAGTTGAGCTGTGTTTCCCAGTCTGTAATCAAAATAATAAAACATTTGTCTGAGAGCCAGTTTAGTCAGGTTCAGACCAGATTTACCATTGTTTTTTTCTTATGTCAGTACACAGTTGATGTGTTGAAAGGTCCCCAGGTGCAGTATGGAGACTGGTTTTGTTCCACTTGGTTGTTGTATTTGAAGTGTTATTGTTCAACATAGATAACATGATAGATAATGATAATCAGAACAGTATGGGTCTGAAAATTATTTAAATACAAGCAATATCAGTTAAAACGCTAATTCATGTTCATGTATGTAGAACACAGAACGTAAGCGTGTTTTTTTCTGATAGCTGAAAACTTTGAAACCGCAACAAGTGTAAGTTTATCTAAGGAAAGCCCCTTGAGATGAATCTATAAGTACATACAAACATGTAAACATACACACGTACATACACAACAATTTACAGAGCACTAAGGTTAAGAAAATATAATTACATGAACATCCTTCACACCCCGGTCCTCCTCTCTGCTAAATTAAAGCGTTAAGAAAGAGATTAATTAAAACAGGTAACAATCATGACATACATAGAGAATACAAAACATTAGTGACATGAACAAGGAGTATTAAAGAGCCTAAACAATTCAAAAATAAATGAGCCAAAAGACATAATAAACTGTATGGCGTCCCCCAGGGCAGGATTGGGCGTCAGATCAAAAATGATGACGGCTAGACTTTTGTAACTTCTCCTGGGAAAATAAGGGCTTCCACCACTTTATCTCAAACAAAAACAAAAACAGTATATGAAATTACTGTCACAGACAAAAGGTTGCAGATGTCTGAAGTTGTTATGTAAGAAACAAATAAATGGATCAGGAGGTTTAAAGTAAATGCATAAATAGATTTTGCTTGACCTGTAATGGATTCTTCGTCTTTGTGTGGCTGAAATTAACTTGTAATATCTTGTCTAATACCGTTTTATTGTCCACAAATGAAACAAAACAATTTCACACATACCAAAGTTAAAGTGTGTACCTGGTGTGCAATAAATCACTCAATTGGGAGTAAAATATAGTCTTGAACAAGAGACTCATTCAGACACACCCAGGGTTTGCATTCCCGGACCATGACTACAGCATTATCCTAAACATGATATTCTGCGGAAAGGAAGAGGGAAGTAGGATTAAAATGCTAGAGTGGCTCATGGATCTCAGGAATAGATGAGAGAACTAACAAGGCCGTTGTTAAACAAAGCGTCCAGGTAAAACTTGTCCTTGTTGGTGGAGGCCACAGAGCTCTGGTGCACAGCTGGTGCTTGGGGAGTCACCAACCTCAAAGAACGAAACACTGCTCCAAGTCTCCAAGGATTATTAATAACAGCTCTTTAATCAATCAATAGAAATACCGTTGCTGCTAAGTAATTTAAGCTGGAAGCAGAAAATATGTCTGGAAAACAAAAAATTACCTTTCATTTGCATATCACAATTAAAAGCTATCTCAGTGATGAAAACAGTTTACATGTATGGGAGAACACTATCTCAGTGTGAGCTCATGACCTGTGGTGTCCCACAAGGGTCTGTATTAGGTCCAATACTATTTATTCTTTAGGTCAATGATTTATGTCAAGTGTTAAAACCTATTTTGTTTTCTGATGACACAACATTTTTTTGCTCTAACCCGGACCTGTGAGAATTACTCAAAGATGTAACTAAATACATCTACATTTGAAATGTTTAACCCTGAAAAAGTATGTTATTATTGTCTTTGCATTTCAATCACTGAAAATTCAGTTTACAAATTAAAATGTGATTAAAATTTTGAAATGACCTTGTTGTGATAGCGAGTGGTGGAATGAGTGGGTTAGGGAGAGTAACCTCTACTATCATCACGTCACAAGAGTTGCTCTGGTGTCACATTACAAACTGCGACACGGTTACAGGTTTGAGTCATACGTGACTCACGGTATGCAGTTTTACACAAGCCAAGTATCGTATTTGTCAGACCCTACATTTAATCTTTCTCGGAGACCTCCTTAGAAACCACCACATTTTCTGAGAATACAATAATTTTTGCCAATCTGGCTCTGGGGAGAAAAGGGACTGGCCTCCTGTTGGTGCCCAGAGTCAGAACATGGGGAGGCAACATTTCAATCCAATCCACTTTATCTATGTAGCACATTTCATAAACACACGTTTCCAAAGTGCTGTTCAATAAAGGACTAATTAATACTAATCCAAAGTAAAACAGTAAAATCATTAAAATTCAAATAGGATAAAGCCATACACACACACACACACACACATACGTTATATGTATACATATTTCAGAGTTATGCAGTTTACATTTGGAACTGTCTTCCTGAAAATGTAAGACAGGCTTCTTTTCTTATCTGACAATGTTTAAATCTAGGTGTGAATAGAACTGAGGGATTTTATCTTCACTCATTTGAGTGAAAAATGTACTGTGATTATTTATGATTATAAGGCCTTCTAGTTTCGTTAAGCATTTGGACTTGTGTATGAACTGTGCTATACAAATAAACTTTCCTTGCCTGATGTATTTATCTCACGCTTTTTCTTCAGATTCGCTCTGACAAGGACATCACTGAGCCGTTGTTTTACTCTCTGCGTGGAGCCGGTGCAGACAAAAGGCCGTACAACATCTTCTTTGTGGACGAGAAAAAGGGGCTGGTGTACGTCCGAGGAGTTCTGGACCGAGAGAAGATAGAGATGTATACGGTGAGTAAACACATGAACAAAACAAGCATAAATATTATGCTAAAATCAGATAGAAGGCAATGAATGATGAGAGAGTTTAAATCTGATTGGATAAATGTGAGTTTTAAGAAGCAACTTTAAATGAGGATACTGGTGCTATAGCCTTTTCTCCCTGTGTGGATAGGGAAGTCTGGGCATCTCTGCTTAGACTTGTTTATTTTGATCTGTTACTTTTATCTGTGCATTTTGGAAACGGGTTTTATAAAATGTGCTATATAAATAAGTGGATTGGATTGGATTGGATTAGGCTGGATGGATTTTTTTCTTTTTTATTAACAAAATCATTTATAATTATACTTTCACTTCACAGTTTCACTTCACAAGTTTTTACTCATCCGAGTGCTCTGTGTGTGTGATGTCAACTGTAGTTATCTCTGCTTTAGTATGAATGGTATTGAGGTTGTTTGAATTTATTCTGAAACTTTCTTGCTTGTTTCCCCAGCTGACAGGAGAGGCCCGCTTCGCTAACAACACTTTAGCCGAGAGCATCACTCTGCGGTTTATGGTGGAGGACGTGAATGACAACGCTCCAGTGTTCGCCAGTGTGCCTCCTACGTCAGTGAACGAGAGTAGCCCCGCAGGTCAGCTATATGTGGGCCCGGGAGTGCGGACCCCACTTTAGGAACCTCTAAATCAGGTCCCCGAGCAGGAGCTTATCAGACTCCATCTATTTTCTCAAGTGAGCAGTCTTCTTACCTGAAGACTTGAGGAAATGGGTGGAGTATGGTGTGCTGCTGTTTATTTTGGAAATAAAACCTACAGCCACACCTGCCCTTTCTGGAACCGGTTTGACACCCGTCTACACTGTAGACGACAGAAAAAACATGTTAACATAAAACAAGATCAAACTTTATGGATCTCATCAATTTACATACTGATGGGCGATACTAGAAATTTCATACTAAATTGGGCGACAAGGTGGCTGAGTGGTTTCCACTCTTGCTTCTTAGCAAAAAGGTCCTGGGTTCGAATACCGGTCAGAACAGGGCCTTTTGGAGTGGAGTTTACATGTCCTCCCTGTGCCTGCGTAGATTATCTCCGGGTGCTCCGGTTTCCACTGCCACTAAAAACTTATACAAAGAATGTGCTATATAAATAAACAGTACTTACCCACTACATTTGAACTAAATAAGATCGGGCAAATATTCAAGAAATGTACAAAATGTTAAAAAGTAAAAAATATTTAAGGAAGGTATCTCATGTAGCTAAAAAAGTGACATTGGCCTTGTCAAAGGTAATAGAGGAGTAACAGTGGTTTTCATTTTAAATCCCTTTTTCGGCTAAGAATTATAAAAACAAAACATAAAATAAAAATAAAATAAAAAATTCTATTGTCTTTCTCTCTTTCTTTCTTTCTATTCTTTCAACATAACATTCACAAACATTACATGTGTCTTCAAGCTCAAACTCGCTTACACACATACAAAACATATTTCAGGGGAATTTTAACTGCGGAATGTTTTCTTCCCTGAGGCTTGTGACGGTTCATTGAGTGAAATGTGGTTTCTGCTTGCCTTGGTGTTTGTGACGAGGGAATATTTGGTTAAAAGCTTAAAATAGAACATAAGACAAGATGGGGGGGGGGGCTGTAACTGGTGTTCTGGGTTGTGAGTCTGAGTTAGATAGAGGTGTAGTTATGTTTGTATGTGTTCATGATGGTGTCTATTTGATGTATTATAAATTTGTAATTTATTCTTATTTTTAATGTTGAATATTCTTGGGGACGTTTCTCTGTTTCTGCAGCACTGAAATGTAATGTGCATAATAAATAAAATGTATTATTATTATTATTATACGTTAAGTAAGTACTTACTTTGGGGCGACAGTAGCTCAGTTGGTAGAGCATTGGCCTTAAGGCCAGAAGGTCGTAGGTTCAATTCCCACCTCTGCACCTTCTCCACCGACTCTCACTGATGACTGCTGTCGTTGTGTCCTTGGGCAAGACACTTAACCCCACTTTGCCCAAAGCCCCACTGAAAGATCAAGGCTATGCTCTCACTCAGAGAGCAGCCGTCCTCCTGTGGACTCACCACCTGCAGAGGGGTCAGTGAGGGGCTGGTGCTATGAGATTGGGTGGCAGCTCTGATTGCCACCCCCCTGACCCAGAAATGGATTAAAGGGAAGAAAATGGATGGATGGATGGAAGTAAGTACTTAGTTGCACTTGTTATCAAACATTATTATGAAGAGAGGAACTTATTTATTGTGCCATCACAGAGAGGTCCTGAATAAATCCTCCAAAATCACTCATGAGTTCATGAGTTTAGTTACTAACTCATGGACTAAACTGTGTCTGTGTTTGCTTGTTTCTCCAGGAACTTTTGTGACGACATTCTCTGCAGATGACAAAGATAAAGCAGGGACTCCGAATGCTATGGTCAACTATACCATTATCAAACAGGAGCCTGCGGAGGACAAACATCATTTCTACATTGACGAAACCACTGGATCTATCTACGTCAAAGAAGACTTGCTAGACAGAGAGGCAAGAATATTTCAATTATCGTTTTCATAGTCCGACAATATGGTTAATAAGTTGAAACTGAAAAATATGTGTTTTGTGCCGATATATTCTAATGTCAAATCTAAAGTAAACACAAGTAGTTAATCCTCCTTAAATGTTTTTTCGGTGCAGAGGCAGGACTCCTACACACTCACAGTTAAAGGAGTCGACTTGGCTGGCGCTCCAAATGGAAAATCCGGAACAGGTACAATTGAAATAAAAGTGCTGGACATCAATGACAACGTCCCCACACTGGAGAAGGACACGGTAAATAATACTACGGTTAAACTATTGGACTGTATGTTGACATTTGAATTGCTCAAAATACATATTCGTAAGCTAGCACAACCGGGACTCTCAGACTGGTTCAGCACCAAAATGTTTTAAAGCATAATCGTCTAAAATAGATTAAGATTTCCTCCTAGATTAGGTTTCCTCCGAGTGCTCCGGTTTCCCCTACCACTAAAAACATATACATTAGGTATGAATGTAATGAATGAGTGAGTGAGTGAATGGTGTTGGTGAGAATGGAATAACTCTCTGAACTCTGAAGAATTGTAAAGCGCTTTGGGTGACTTTGTTCTGTAAAATGTGCTATATACATAAACCTTACTTACTGACTAAGATTAAGATTTCCTTTGTTCGCCCCAGAGTGGGGAAATGAGGTGCCCATAACACAATATAAATGATAAAATACAGTATATTCTAGTGCAAGAAATATATAGTTGTGTCTGAACATGTTTTCAGCATGAGGGTATAGGACAAAGTGACAGTGGACGCATGTGGCTCTGTATTGCACATTCTGACATAGACTCAAGTTATTGCACAGATGTATAGCATATGAGGTCAGGTTGGCAGTGTTTGTTAGTCCTAATTGTTCGTTGTACCATGTTAAAAGCCTGTCTAAATAACTTGACTGTTTTGTACCTTGCAGTATAATGCAGAAATCAAGGAGAATGTTGCCAATGAGGAGGTGATGAGGATCAAAGCTGTGGATCAAGATCTGAAGCCCACAGATAACTGGCTTGCTGTGTTTGACATAGTGTCTGGAAATGAGGACGGAATATTCAGCATCAAAACTGATCCAGACACCAATGAAGGCATCCTCATGTTAGAAAAAGTAAGCATAGGTCTCATATACGCTTTATCTATATCATCAAAATCATATCAAACTTGACGTACAAAGCTCTTTTATACAAAGATTGTGTTAGATAGAATATTTAGAACAAGCCCACATTCCTATTGACCAATTCAACGTTCATCTTGGGGTACTATAGCTGTTGTCATGTCTTTTAACTTTTAAATACAAAATCAAAGGTGACAGAAGTCCCCATCAATATTTTTTGCATGTCAGTGCAACTTCAAACACAGAATTGGTAAAACCTGCCCTTATAGACAAAGAGAGAAAGCTGAATCGGTATTATCTACAGTGGAATACTTACAAGCAACGACATCAATGGAACACACACAGTAAGCACAGTGGTCAAAATAATGTGAGAAAGGCACGGAGGCTGGGTGGATATAGCACTCACGCCTCTCAGCAAGAAGGTCCTGGGTTTGAATCCCAGTCAGAACAGAGCCTTTCTGAGTGGAGTTTGGATGTTCTCCTATCTGCGTAGGTTTCCACCAGGTGCTTTGGTTTCCCCTACCACTAAAAATATGCACATTAGGTAAATCCTCCATCCCTGACCAAGGGCATCATCATCTGTGCCCGAGTGCCCGGACGGGACTTCACCAGCGGGTTATACGCTTGACAGCTGGAACAAGTGGCAGCCCCTCTGTCTGTCGACCCTGTCCATTGAAGATTCGGAAGACGTATATCTTTGGCTTTTTGGTGGTGGGGATCCTCCTGTTTGGGCTTGGAGCGGTTCTATTCTACCATAAATTCGGAGGCATGGCAGTTCGCAAGATTCACGACCTGCTGGCCAACAAAATTGATGGGATGTACAAGGAGCTTAACCGAGTCGTGGTTGAGAGCGCTGTGGCTGGACAAAGAAGAGTGGTGTTAGTGGAACAGTTGATCAGAGATCTCGCAGCTCGTTCACTTGATGGGCATAAAACTCTGGAATTGAGATTGAATGACATTGTTTGTCACGCTTGAACTCTCTGACCCGGCTTGGATTGGCCCCTGTGTACGGGGTCTGAGGGCGCCACAATTCGGTTTAATTGGATTTAATAGAATATCTGCCTGTTTTTGACTGCTAAAATGCATACAATATTGTCCCTCGTTACAGGAAGAAGTGTTTTTCTCCTTGCTGTGTCTTCCCTCCACTCTTATCTCACATTCCTCGGGCCAAGGCCATCATAATAAATCTGGACTCTACAACAATTTCACACTCTTTCAGTCAGTTCCAGCTTGGATCCCGCTCCCCCCGCCTCCCTCTGATCTCTCCCTCCCCTCCCCTCCTCACTGTGTTTCCGGCTCACCCCCTCCCTGACCCCGCCCCCCTCTGACAGCCACATTGGGCCGGCTGCAGAAGGTGCTCATCCCGAAAAAAAATCCGTGGTTTATACAAAGCACAATGTTTTCTATCCAACTGTCTGTTGTAACCTGTATGTTATTGCTCTCTGCTGTTTATTCTACTGTTTGTCGCATGGCGCCGGAAAAGATGGCGCCGTGGCAAGAGCTCTGGTGTGTGTCGTCTCTGTCTGGCGCACACCGGGGTAGTCTTGCACAGTTTTTCCAATGTGGTTTTACTGCAAATGGCAAATAAATGAATCTGAATCTGAATCTGTAGATGGGTTCCAGGGCGCTGTACTACGGAAACAACTGCTCCTGATAGAGGCCCAAGTGGCATCAGGATGGGTCAAATGACGACAGTTCCCTATGAGTATAAATAAAGTGCACATTAACATTGAATGTGTGAAAGCTGGAACGAGTCCAAAACGCAAGATTGAAACTGGAGTATGTTACTTTTTAAATGTTTCATAAAAACATGTAGTTTTTTCCCAAAAGAGAGACTTGTTTAAAGAAGTTATACACAATTTTTTTTCTAAGTAGTTGATAAACATCCTTATTACTACATACAAGTTGTATTATAATCCGTAATTTAATTGAAAACTTGAGGTAATTGATTCAGCTGTGTAAGAATTAGAAGCAGTGAAAAGTGCTGAGTAGAGTCTGAGCGGGACGCTCGTTCTCCTCCACTCACAGAACAAGAAGCGACCAGCCTGCGTCCTCTAGCCTCTACAGCGCTGCTTAACACCAGACCTTCGGCTTCGAAATTCGAATATAATTCTAACATTAAAAATATATATATTTATTCGAACACATATTAGACAGCCCTTACAATTCGAAATGTATTCAATAACTGCAAATAAAATAGTTAGCTCCCAAAGGTTCCACCGGGACGAGCTAGGCAGGTAACTGCTAAGCTAGCTAGCTCCCTGGAACTAGCGTTACATGTTAATGGTTACTTCCGGGTTTTTTGCGATCGCTTTTTGTCACATTAAAGTAGTAATTTGGTCATGAAAACAATAACAAGAAATTCTGAAAAAGTCCGTGCATGTGTGTTAAGGATGTATACGTATACTGTACTGTCTGATTAACATTTAATGGTGTTGATTTATAGATATGTAGTTGATTATGGAGCGTGGCTAGCTCGGCTAGCTCCGCTAGCTTCTCTTGTTGTACTTGCGGAGTAATGGCAGTATTTTACATACCTGAATTACAAACAGAGATTGCATTGTCAAAGGGCAGCGGTCATTATTGATTTGAGAGTTCTGTTATCAAGAAAAAATGATCGGTAGAAATACGTCCAAGTCAATGGAGTGTTCTACTGCTGCTGTGAGGAGCTGAATAATAAATTATAATTAAATACTCGAATATATTCTAATGTTTTAATGAATAAATTCGGATGCGAAACTAGCAGTATTCTTTTACCTATACAGGGGGGCGAAAGTATTCGGCCCCCTTGAACCTTTCAACATTTCGCCACATTTCGGGCTTCAAACATAACGATATAAAATTTAAATTTTTTGTCATGAATCAACAACAAGTGGGACACAATCGTGAAGTGGAACGAAATTTAATGGATAATTTAAACTTTTTTAACAAATAAAAAACTGAAAAGTGCAATATAATTCGGCCCCTTTCCTTTCAGTGCAGCAAACTCACTCCAGAAGTTCAGTGAGGATCTTTGAATGATCCAATGTTGTCCTAAATGACTGATGATGATAAATAGAATGCACCTGTGTGTAATCAAGTCTCCGTATAAATGCACCTGCTCTTTGATAGTCTCAGGGTTCTGTTTAAAGCGCAGAGAGAACCATGAAGACAAAGGAACACACCAGGCAGGTCCAAGATACTGTTGTGGAGAAGTTTAAAGCCGGATTTGGATACAAAAAGATTTCCCAAGCTTTAAACATCTCAAGGAGCACTGTGCAAGCAATTATATTGAAATGGAAGGAGTATCAGACCACTGCAAATCTACCAAGACCTGGCCGTCCCTCCAAACTTTCATCTCAAACAAGGAGAAGATTGATCAGAGATGCAGCCAAGAGGCCCATTGTTACACCCTGGCTCTACAGGTGCAACATAAAGGACAACAGGCAACTAAAAGTTAATATAATTTATTAACAGAAACAAAAGTCTAGGGAGATAACACAAAGAAAACCAAAAAGGGGAAGGCAGGTGTGGTGGTGAGCAGGGCTGCTGCTGCCAGGACAGAGAGAGAGAGATGGGTGGAGTCAGGGTGTGGTCTTATAGGCTCCCAGCAGGGAACCTGATGCAGGCTGGAAATCCTGGAAGTGGATCCTGGAACTGGAACAGGTCTGAATGGCAGCTCCACATAACACCCATGATCACTCTGGATGAACTGCAGATAACTACAGCTGAGGTGGGAGAGTCTGTCCATAGGACAACAATCAGTCGTGCACTGCACAAATCTGGCCTTTATGGAAGAGTGGCAAGAAGAAAGCCATTTCTCAAAGATATCCATAAAAAGTCTCGTTTAAAGTTTGCCACAAGCCACCTGGGAGACACACCAAACATGTGGAAGAAGGTGCTCTGGTCAGATGAAACCAAAATCAAACTTTTTGGCCACAATGCAAAACGATATGTTTGGCGTAAAAGCAACACAGCTCATCACCCTGAACACACCATCCCCACTGTCAAACATGGTGGTGGCAGCATCATGGTTTGGGCCTGCTTTTCTTCAGCAGGGACAGGGAAGATGGCTAAAATTGATGGGAAGATGGATGGAGCCAAATACAGGACCATTCTGGAAGAAACCCTGTTGGAGTCTGCAAAAGACCTGAGACTGGGACGGAGATTTATCTTCCAACAGGACAATGATCCAAAACATAAAGCCAAATCTGCAATGGAATGGTTCACAAATAGACGTATCCAGGTGTTAGAATGGCCAAGTCAAAGTCCAGACCTGAATCCAATCGAGAATCTGTGGAAAGAGCTGAAGACTGCTGTTCACAAACGCTTTCCATCCAACCTCACCGAGCTCGAGCTGTTTTGCAAAGAAGAATGGGAAAGAATTCCAGTCTCTTGATGTGCAAAACCTACCCCAAGCGACTTGCAACTGTAATTGCAGCAAAAGGCGGCGCTACAAAGTATTAGCGCAAGGGGGCCGAATAATATTGCACGCCCCACTTTTCAGTTTTTTATTTGTTAAAAAAGTTTAAATTATCCAATAAATTTTGTTCCACTTCACGATTGTGTCCCACTTGTTGTTGATTCTTGACAAAAAAAATATTTTTTATATCTTTATGTTTGAAGCCTAAAATGTGGCAAAATGTTGAAAGGTTTAAGGGGGCTGAATACTTTCGCAAAGCACTGTATATTGTGTTAGCAGTGCGTTGCTTTAGTACCATTTCATCTGTGATTGTTGCACAGCTTACAAGAAGTTGTGCTAATGCTAATGTTAGCATACATGTCAGATCGCAAATTGAGCTAGATGGCTCTGTGTTATGAGAGCGTAGGGGAAATGAGAAGCCATTGAGGGAGTTGGGGGGCGGTGCTAAACATTCAAACCTGGCAGAAAGGGGTATAGCGCCTTTAAGTAAAATGTTGTGCACATATAAGACCACAACATACTGCCATTAATTCTTGGAATCCTGAGACCAGATTGGCTGAGTGAGAATGGTTCCTTATTCTGCTTTAACATGCATTTTAAGATTGTTTTGTTTTTTATATGGTTTCAAAGCAAGGTACTCCAGCTTTATTGGTCCATCTGATAAATCACTCAGGGTTGAAAGCCTTTATCAATCTTTGAGCTGTTTTGTTCAAAATCTAACTGGGACCACAGAAGTTTCGCCACATTTGGACCAATGGCTCCTTGTTATCTCTCTCTGTTGCTATTTCCTCTTTTTCCATCCATCATGTGTGTGACCAGCCACAACGGTCTCCTCCAGGCAAATCTGCTCCACCCAAGCTGAGAAAAAAGATCAAAAACACATAAGACCTCAACGCAAGAGATGGATAAGTGCAATACGTGACATGTCAGGAACATGTGTGAGCTTCTAGCAACAACAAAAAAAAACATTAATGTAAAATCCCACCGCACAAAAGTTGAAGAGAACTAATCTCAGTCATCTTACACGGACAATATCATATACTGTAACTGTTTGTGTTAACAAGGTCATGCTAATGTTATTTTAAAGTTTTGTCGTTGCTCTGCTTTGAAATATAAAAAGGTGTGAACAGACCTTTCGTGAACCACAGTTGAATTCCTCAAGATCGGGATTGTCTTTGAGTGCATTTGCTCAAGAATTGTTGAAACTTTATTTTTTTTTCAAACTGTCAAAAGTAAATAAAAATAACTTACAGTGCTTAAAAGTGTTCAGTCTATGTAAATAATATGCGGAGTGACCACAGGTGGAGCCTTCCAAAAATCTTGCAGACATTCACTTTAAATGCATCTGTTTATGTTCGCAGCCAGTGAACTTTGAGATGAACCCCGACATCCAACTTGGCATTGTCGTGGCCAACGCCGCTCCAGGGGTGGGGCCAGCTGACGGCGGACTGGACCTTGGACTGGACCTCGGGCTGGACATGGGTGGAGGAGGGGAAGGGGGAGGAGAGGGAGAGGGGGATGGGGGAGGAGACGGTGGGGGAGACGGTGGGGGAGACGGGGGAGGAGACGGTGGGGGAGACGGGGGAGGAGATGGAGAGGGGGAAGGCGGCGGTGGGGGAGGTTTGGATTTGGGAGCAGGAGGAGCAGGAGGAGCAGGAGGAGCAGTAGGGGCGTCGGGAGCATCGGGAACATCAGGAGGTCCAGGACCAGCTGGAGGGTTAGGGTTAGGGGCACCTGGACCAAATCTTGGGCTTGGGGCTGGAGCTAAAGGAAAGCCACAACAAAGATGGCCGAAGAAAAAGAAAAGAAAACCAAAAGGTTGTTTTTTACTCAAATTTCTTGAAATGCTTTATCTGTGTTTTGTATATGAGTTTTGAGCCACAAGTATCAACACTAGCAAACAAAGGCTTGATATATCTCACGGCGCTTGTACTGAATCAATCATACTATATTTTTTGTGGAAAATCACCCTCACAAAGACGGGATCTTTACGCATCAGAGCCACCTGGAAGTTTATTCTCAGTTTCTTTCAGTTTTATTCAGACAGAACAGAGTTAGAACAAGCAATATATAGTCGATGTTATGTCACACACACGTCACACATTGAAAAACATACGTCAATCAGAACATATTAGAGTCATAACACAGATTCACAATCATAGCAGATACACAATCGAGTCCTTGTGAAACTCCCATTGGCTGTTGTAGGTGGCGCTGTTCTGGCATTTTTTGAGTCCCATAAAAATAAACACCAAAATATAAAATTTTTCACCAGGTCTGATGTTTGGGCAAAATTTTACAACTTTTCATGCATGTTCAGGGGGTGAAATTGAGGCTCAAAGTGCAGAATTTGACATCTCTCGAGCAAAAACAATAATAAGTAGTATTAATTAGTAAGGCGCTAATTTGCTGAAAGGCGGAAATAGATATTTAAATGCATCACACTTGTTTTTATCGGTCGCAATCATTAGTATCCACATGCCTGCAAGTTTGGCAGTGATAACACGGACTCATATGGCTCTGTTATTCAAATAACTTTTTCCTCTTGAACAATTTTGCCAGCAGAACTTTACTAACTATGCCTGGCCTGGTGAGGGCACTGGAGCATAGCCTAAAACTAAACAACGGTCATTTGTAGTTTGCCACCAAATCTTAATCCATAGATGGTGGTAGAAGACCCACAAAGACAAAGGGAGAATCCAAGGCCAGGCCAGATGGCAAGGCCAGATCCCTAGTAAATTCCCATAATTAGTTTCACATGGTAAGTTGAATTACAAAAGTAAATGCAACTCGTTAATCGTTAATGCAACACCCATTCATTATAAAAAGCAAAGGAAGGTTTCTCACCCATCATCTGTACTTCTTAGCAAGTTTTCCCGACGTTTCGTCCTCAACCTGGGGACTTCTTCAGGGAATGAATTCTCGGACCGCGCGTTGGAGATTTATAACCTATGGGTGTGGTAAGCCACACCCTAACCCTGATACTAACTCGTAAACAATCTAAGGTCTGCTTGATGTAGAAGGGAGCAGGTCTAACGACCCTGCTGAGGCTAACGACCCTAACTCCTTAGCATGTCACCGACCTATTGTCTGCTGGGATGCTCAAGTGGAGTGCAGGTTTCACCCCTCCTAACTCATTAGCATGTCACTGACCTTGTCCCAAGTTAGGGCGTTGTTTTTAGGATGTCGTCATAGATGCGAGGCAAAACAAATCTTAACCCTCCTCCTCTGTTAAGAGAAGGTTTCTGTTTCCTCACAAAAATGGCTTCTTTCACCCCTCTCTCAAACCAATTCTTCTCCCGAGCCAGAATTTTAACCTCTGTGTCATCCACCGTGTGGTTGGAGGCCTTGAGGTGGAGATGAACAGCCGACTGTGGCCCACTAGAGTTTTCTCTACGATGTTGGTAAAGTCGTTTCTGTAGAGTTTGTTTGGTTTCTCCAATATAGTGGTCAGTGCACTCCTCTTCACTACATTTAATTGAATACACCACATTGCTCTGTTTGTGTCTGGGTGTTTTGTCTTTGGGATGCACTAATTTCTGTCTTAACGTGTTGAAAGGTTTGAAATACCAGGGATTTTGTGTTGCCTAAAGATTCTTTGTAGTTTCTCTGAAACTCCCGCCACATACGGTAAGGACACCCCTCTCCTCCTACTTTCTTCTGTCTGTTGGACTGTGTCTCTGGCCTTTCTCGTCCTTTGGGCTTTAGTAAAAGACCACTTGGGGTAGCCACATCTGGAAAGTGCTCTCTGAACATGTTTGGTTTCTCTGTTCTTTCCCTCCGAGCTAGTGGGGACCTGGTGGGCTCGGTGTTGAAGCGTTCTAATGACCCCGAGTTTGTGTTGTAGCGGATGATTTGAATCAAAAGCCAAGTACTGGTCAGTGTGAGTGGGCTTTCTGAAGACCTCAGTCTCTAATTGTCCGTTCTCCAGTATGATGACCTTACAATCTAGAAAGGCGAGTTCACTCTCCTTAGCATCCTCGCGAGTGAAATTTATAAAAGGGTCCACCGAGTTAATGTGTGCTGAAAATGGTTCCACTTCCTGTTTCTTTAACTTAACCCATGTATCGTCTACATATCGAAACCAATGGCTTGGCGCTGTCCCTTGGTAAGAGCCCAGGGCTTGTTCCTCCAGTTTCTCCATATACAGATTGGCCACTATAGGAGAGACTGGGGAGCCCATCGCACAGCCATGAATCTGTCTAAAGAAGGTGCCTCTAAATTGGAAATACGTGGTGTTAAGACACATTTCAAGTATTTCACAGATGTGGTCAGCTGTTAGTTTCGTTCTCTCCCCTAGTGTGGCGTCTTTCTGTAGGCTTTCTCTTACAGCCTCCACCGCCTCTGTAATAGGGACCGACGTAAAAAGCGATGTCACATCAAACGAGACCATTGTCTCATCTGTGTCAAACTGGAGGTGTTTGACTTTATTCACAAATTCTTTTGTGTTTTCTGTTTATGGCCTCCCAAAAATACACAAACAAAAACTTTCCACTTCGGCCTATTGTATGTAGCATAGACTCTATCACCTACAACCTGGCTAAACACCTCAAAACCATTCTGGCTCCTTTGGTGGGTAACACCACCATCACATAGAAAACACAAAAGAATTTGTGAATAAAGTCAAACACCTCCAGTTTGACACAGATGAGACAATGGTCTCGTTTGATGTGACATCGCTTTTTACGTCGGTCCCTATTACAGAGGCGGTGGAGGCTGTAAGAGAAAGCCTACAGAAAGACGCCACACTAGGGGAGAGAACGAAACTAACAGCTGACCACATCTGTGAAATACTTGAAATGTGTCTTAACACCACGTATTTCCAATTTAGAGGCACCTTCTTTAGACAGATTCATGGCTGTGCGATGGGCTCCCCAGTCTCTCCTATAGTGGCCAATCTGTATATGGAGAAACTGGAGGAACAAGCCCTGGGCTCTTACCAAGGGACAGCGCCAAGCCATTGGTTTCGATATGTAGACGATACATGGGTTAAGTTAAAGAAACAGGAAGTGGAACCATTTTCAGCACACATTAACTCGGTGGACCCTTTTATAAATTTCACTCGCGAGGATGCTAAGGAGAGTGAACTCGCCTTTCTAGATTGTAAGGTCATCATACTGGAGAACGGACAATTAGAGACTGAGGTCTTCAGAAAGCCCACTCACACTGACCAGTACTTGGCTTTTGATTCAAATCATCCGCTACAACACAAACTCGAGGTCATTAGAACGCTTCAACACCGAGCCCACCAGGTCCCCACTAGCTCGGAGGGAAAGAACAGAGAAACCAAACATGTTCAGAGAGCACTTTCCAGATGTGGCTACCCCAAGTGGTCTTTTACTAAAGCCCAAAGGACGAGAAAGGCCAGAGACACAGTCCAACAGACAGAAGAAAGTAGGAGGAGAGGGGTGTCCTTACCGTATGTGGCGGGAGTTTCAGAGAAACTACAAAGAATCTTTAGGCAACACAAAATCCCTGTGTATTTCAAACCTTTCAACACGTTAAGACAGAAATTAGTGCATCCCAAAGACAAAACACCCAGACACAAACAGAGCAATGTGGTGTATTCAATTAAATGTAGTGAAGAGGAGTGCACTGACCACTATATTGGAGAAACCAAACAAACTCTACAGAAACGACTTTACCAACATCGTAGAGAAAACTCTAGTGGGCCACAGTCGGCTGTTCATCTCCACCTCAAGGCCTCCAACCACACGGTGGATGACACAGAGGTTAACATTCTGGCTCGGGAGAAGAATTGGTTTGAGAGAGGGGTGAAAGAAGCCATTTTTGTGAGGAAACAGAAACCTTCTCTTAACAGAGGAGGAGGGTTAAGATTTGTTTTGGCCTCGCATCTATGACGACATCCTAAAAACAACGCCCTAACTTGGGACAAGGTCAGTGACATGCTAATGAGTTAGGAGGGGTGAGACCTGCACTCCACTTGAGCATCCCAGCAGACAATAGGTCTGTGACATGCTAAGGAGTTAGGGTCGTTAGCCTCAGCAGGGTCGTTAGACCTGCTCCCTTCTACATCAAGCAGACCTGAGATTGTTTACGAGTTAGTATCAGGGTTAGGGTGTGGCTTACCACACCCATAGGTTATAAATCTCCAACGCGCGGTCCGAGAATTCATTCCCTGAAGAAGTCCCCAGGTTGAGGACGAAACGTCGGGAAAACTTGCTAAGAAGTACAGATGATGGGTGAGAAACCTTCCTTTGCTTTGACTAATCCCTGTACGACTGAGGGCTTACACAAACCCATTCATTATAGTTGTCCTTGTAACATTTATATATTTTTTTACATTAGTTTTTACACTTCATTATGACAGTTTACATACTTATATTGATATCTCCTCCTTCATGTCCATTGAGAGTAATCCTCTGCTGCATTTAACGATACCAATGTCGGTATGAATATAGTAATCGTAAATCTAAACGGGGAATTCAAAAAAGTCCAACTAATTCATTCCTATTGGTGGAACATGAAGTTGAGTGTGCACTAAATCAAAGCATTGTCTGTAGGTAAAGTGTATGCAGTGAACGTTGTGGTGAAAGATGAGCAAGAGAGCGATTCCTTCGAACCAGCAGTACTGAACGTCCGAGTGTCGGAGAATCCTGATGATCTGCCAAAGAACGGGGTCATAGCAATGTACCCCGCCATAAACGCAGACACTGGAAAACCATCTGAGAACGTCAAGTAAGAAACGAGCCCTGGACTAAAGATTTCATTGTAAAGATTTTTAGGTAGTAATATTCTCCAATTAAATGGTATTGGCTACAATAAGACTGAGCTTTATTGATGTTAAGGTTGTTGCATTTACCGTTGCTTCTACTTGTGTGTCCATACTTCCACATTGTTATTTCTCTGATACAATTTTTTGTTTCTTCCCTCACAGTTATGCCAAAGTATTGGACCCTGAAAACTTATTGCTGATCGACCCTACTACAGCAGAGATCAAACTTCAGAAAGCTCCGGACAGAGAGTCTCCGTTTGTGGTCAATGGGACTTACATTGCCAAGATCATCAGTATAACAAAGGGTATGTTTCCCTCGAGTCGCAGCTCATGAGGCTTGGCAAGTGTTGATCCTTTTTCTGGTCTGATCTGGTCTGATCTGGTCCATGTCCCATTCGGTTTGAGAAATTGTCTTGAATTGAACCAGGACATTTTTACGTTTTCTGCTGCCTTTGTACAATTCTGTGTGAATGAATATGAACAAAGACAATTGGATCATGATGAAATTACTGTTAGAAAAATGGGGCAGAAAATGGATAACCATTGAGGCCAAAGCAAACATTCTTTCAAACTCTAACTTTATGTTTTTGTCTGTGTTCTGATTGGTCCAGACGTGCCCTCACAGACTTCTACAGGGACCATAGCTCTGCGCGTCCAGGACACTAATGATAATTGCCCCTCGCTGACCTCAGCGGTGGAGCACATCTGCTCAGACGTCCAGGATGTGCTGATCACAGGAAAGGACCTGGACGGACCCCCAAACGGAGCCCCATTCACTTTCAAGCTAGTTCCAGAGAGGAGCCGAGGGGAGTGGGAGATCCAGCCCATAGACGGTACTGTGAACGGACCACTGACATATTTGCTTTTTTATCAATTATTTAAAGAAGTATTATCATGCAATGTTTTTGGCTAATCAAAATTATAATCAGAATCAGATTCATTTTTATTGCCACATAAGTGACAGGAGGTCACAGACGTCAGAAAGAGAAAATAAAAATAAAGAATAAAAATAAAGAATAAAAAATTTAAAATAGAGTTACAGTTACTATTTACAATATACAAGTGCACATGGTGCACTATAATATTATACTATAATGAGACTATTTACTTTGAAAATATATGGTGCAACAATCATGAAGGATAAAATAGGCTTTGCACGTGTAATTCTGTATGTTACCATCAGGGGAGGAGTTGAATTGGATTGTTTAAATCCAAATTTGAAAATTACTGGGTGCAAACACAGCCATGCAATTGTAATGAATGTAATTTCACTTTAAAAATTGCCAAAACTAATATAGGGACAATAAAGTGAGCGTGATGTCATAGCGGTGCAATGATTACAGGACTGAGACAGGAGCCTACAGACAGAAGGGGCCAAGTTACATAGTGCAGGCTATTTCATTGTTTCATAACAATGTTAAAAGCTCATAAATAATGCTTTTGTATATTATGTCTCCTTTAAGATACCAATGCCAACCTGCATGCCCTGTCTTCGCTGTGGCCTGGGGAGTATGAAGTGGTGATCCTGGTTTACGACCAGCAGGGTCTGTCCTGTCCGGAGCCCCAGACTCTGAAGGTTCAGGTGTGCTTGTGTGAGGGGAGCGAGAGCTGCAGCGGAGGCGCTGTCCGAGCTGCGACGGCCGCAGAAGAGCCTGAGCTGGGTATCGCAGGCCTGGGGGCTGCAGCCGTGCTGCTGGCTCTGCTTGCTCTGCTCAGTGAGTAATATAATATTATAACAGTTTGTATGTAGTAAATACACCTTATCAACATGAATGCCCCTAGTATCTAGCTCAGGGGTCGGGAACCCAAAATGTTCAAAGAGCCATAATTGACAAAAAAACTAAAAACAACATCTGTCTGGAGCCGCAAAAAAAGAACAGCCTTGTATAAGGCTTTTATGAAGTTAACACAGGCTGCAAGATGTATTAGCTATATTAGCCTAATATCTAAATGACAAAGTAAAGGCTACAAATACATAATAATCATTCATTATTTTCACTGCAGCGTGTCGCACCACGCGTGTCGTGAATGACGCAACACGGGACAACTCTGCTTTAGTTTAACTTCCATTTTTTTTGCCTTCATGCAATTGTAGAAATACAGTAAATAAATCTGCTTTGGGCTCAGAGGTCACATACCTGCATCACTGTCTGCTCATATCCATCACGTCACAGGCTGAAGTTTGCTGGAGCTGAATTAAAATCCTTAATGGCCTTTTCTTTCACCGTCTTTGAGAAGGTTTTGAAGTCTGAAAATAGGTGCTCTGAATTTTTGATGAATGAATCCTTCACGTAATCACCGTGTACGTCGTTTTGCGCGTCATTGTTCCTCGTGTTGCAACAAAACTTTTCATTACAAACATGAAGCAGTCCTTCCTCATTGACTGAAAGAAAATGTTCATTCTCATTCTTAGTCCAGTCTTGTTATCGACTCTTTCTCGTTTTAGCTTTGGGATCCATGTGCACTTACAGTCTATGATGCACACACGCCGGTTTGTTTACAGCAGCGGCCGATGGGGCGAGGCCGCGTGACCGCGCGTCATAGGATATGACGTTCTACGTTGACAGAAATGTTGAAATTAGATATTACTTATACATATTTTTACAGCATTTAAAAACGTAAAGATTGTTTTTCCTTCTACAGAAACCACATTCAAACTAGAAATAAAATATAGCCCTCACACTCCATTTTCAGACATTTTTGAAAAGGCTCCAGGAGCCACTCCAGGAGCACTCAAGAGCCGCATGCGGCTCCGGAGCCGCGGGTTGCCGACCCCTGATCTAGCTACTGAAAATTACAACTTTCGTCACCACAGTGGAAGCTGCATCATTCAAATTAGAATAAATTGTCTTTATTTAAAAAACTTCATAGTCTTTACAAGCCATACACATTCTAATTTCCAAAGATTGTATGTGCTTTGCAAAAAGGAACTCCCAGGAAGCTGCATTAGCTTATAGGCAGGGCCCCAAAACAATACATGTAAACAAATTTCATATTAAAAATCAAACTTGGATTTCACGTGCAGCCCTCATTGTTTTAGGGAGTTGAATATTATTTAGTTTGTTATCATACTTTGCTCATGAAAAGCTTTATTACAATATTGGAGGTTTGGGGTCTTTGTCACACATCATATCAACACAGCTCTTCTGTTGGTACATATGGATGTCTTAATCTGTATGATTTACCTTCAGTCGCCGCTGCACTGCTGACCACCTGTCAGTCTGGATCGACTCCCGCTGGATTTTTAGAGATTCCTTTTTTCAATGAAGATCACCTCATGGTCTATCACACAGAAGGCCAAGGAGAGGCTAAGGTCAGTACAATATTTTTAAAGCAACTATCTTAGTCTTAGACTGCTGGGGTTCTTGCATGTTCTCCCTTTGTCTTTGTGGGTCTTCTACCACCATCTATTGATTAAGATTTGGTGGCAAACTACAAATGACCGTTGTTTAGTTTTAGGCTATGCTCCAGTGCCCTCACCAGGCCAGGCATAGTTAGTAAAGTACTGCTGGCAAAATTGTGCAAGAGGAAAAAGTTATTTGAATAACAGAGCCATATGAGTCCGTGTTACACTGCCAAACCTGCAAGCATGTGCATTTAAATATCTATTTCCGCCTTTCAGCAAATTAGCGCCTTACTAATTAATACTACTTATTTCTCACTACAATCCAAATAATGTGTGTCCCATTTTGTAGGAATTTCCTCTGCTCAGCTCTCCTGTTCACATGGCAGCAGCATCGAACGGGATTTCTCAGCACGTGATCACTTCCAAGTCGGTCAGGACCACAGCTGCAGCCAACACCTTCTCTGCTTTTGGCGGACACATGAATACATACGAAGCCGGTGGGGGGTTCGGCAGTTGCGCAAGGATACAGAAGAGCAGTTTCGGGGATTCAGAGCAGAGCCACGGAGATGCGTCTGCGATGGCTGAGGAGAGGTTTCGAGTTCAAAGCTTCGCTCTACCTGATGTGTTTCTCCATCAGTTCTATGCAGAAGTGAGTATTTTATGAGCTAGTATTACTTAGATGCAGTACATACATGTATTTAGGAACATAGGACAACATAAGCATGTGTTCCTCTTGTGGACTTCCCACCTGACAGACCTGCCAAAATCTATTTATTTTGTGAGGTTATGGTTGGGAGTGTTTTCCCGGATTTTGAACTCACTCGTCTGGAAGGGAGTACCATCAACGTCTAGAGAGAGTCTTATCCCAGTACCAGTTGACAAAGCATATAACTGCTGAGGATATTGCAGAGGAAAACAACAGACTGGTAGGATATATGAGTGGCCTTTGAGCAGGCTTTAGTCAGGCTCAAGTGATTCTAGAAAATTGTTTGGCCTCTCAGGAGGAGGAAGCAGTGCATCACCAACATTTTTTGCAGTGTGGGTGGAGAATAATGCATTAGAAAAACTTCCAGAAGTCACTGTCATGTAGACCACTTTGGAGACAGAGGCTGAAGATCTTGGGGCAGATACTTCCATTTCTCTGTGTGAAGTCATTGTGGGAAACCTGGAGATCTTACCTTTCTTGATGAAAGGAATGGTGCCACTGGATTGAGTGGCTGTATCTCTAGTATATTGTCAAAACTATTCAATGGGTCAAGAATGGCAAAAAATGTTAGATAAGAAAAAAGCCTTGACTTGATTTTTGTGTGTTGTTGTTCCACAGAAGTCCAATGATACTGCTTTGAAGGAGAGCACGCGGGACAGCCTGTTGGTTTACCAGTTCGAAGGTCGAGGCTCTGCAGCGGGATCCATCGGCTCCTGCAGCTTCATGGATACTGATGAAGATATTGATTTCTTTGAAAACTTGGGGCTCAAGTTCAAAAGGCTGGCTGAGATCTGTGCTCCAACTATGCCTCTCTCTCCTGCATCCAACACAACACTGGCCAGACCTATTCCTCCTTCAGCATCTCCAAGTGTACACCAAATTCCACCAAAAGCTTCCATAGCTCCCACTCTCTCTACATTGCGAGATTCTTCCACTTTATCCCAATCAATTCAGACACTTGACAACCAAATCTTCTCCAACATGACACAAATACATCAACCAAACAAGCAAAATATCACCAACATTCAAAAATCCAAAAGCTTGGCAAATTTAACCCAGTATGCACCAAGTTACAGCATCAAAGCCAATACCCAGGTTGCTCAATCACAACCATTTAGTCCTGTAATGGCTCCCCCGCTTGGTCAGGCAGTGGTATTGCAACAGCAGCCAGTTTACTACATAACTTCTCCAGTGATGCAACCCACCTCGCCTGTCCTCCAGTATGTTGTCCAACCTCAAGTTCAAAGAAACATGGTCTTTGCGCAGCCACGATCGCCCAACATGCAAGGCTACGTGCTGCTCAATAATGGTTTGGAATCCATGGAGCACTTAGTTTATCCAGGGCCACAGGCGATGCCACTCGGACGGAGGTACATGAGTGTGGTTGATATCGGTCAGCATGTAGAGGCAGATCAAGTTTCTGGCAGTCAAATGTCAGGGGGAAATTTTGGAAAACAGAGCAGAAAGATGTCTGAAAGTCAGTTGAATGTAGCTTCGTCTAGTAGGGTGGTTGATATTGGGCAACGCGAAAAGGAAGAGCGTGTTCCTGGCAGTCAAAAAACAGGGAAGACGCTTGGAAAGCAAAAGAGAAGGATGTCCGAAAGTCAGTTGAAGCCAGTAGGGTCAATGAGCGTTTTTGATTCCAGCCAGTATGTTGTAGTGCCTGGTACGCCAAATTTAGAGAGGAGGACTTCAGAAGGTTGGCTCAGTTCAAATGCACCTCAAAGCAGTACCATGGAGAATTCAGGCAGAGTGAAAGCTTGTAGAAAAACGAGCAAGAGGATCATGTCCATGGAGGAATTAAGTGAGCAGATCAATGATGAAAAAATGGCAATGAGCAACGCAACAAGCAGGAGAGGTGCACAGTATCAAAGCAGCATACAGCTAAACACAGGAAATCTAACTGCGCTAAGATAGACGAGAGATCTATAGCAAGTATGTTATTAGAGGGGTTAAAAATTCAAAACATCAGCTTTATATTTTAGTTTTGATTCCTAAAGACATTAAGAGTCTTGCAAAGGTACAATAAGACATCTTCATCTTTCTCCTATTAGAAAATTATATATTTTTCACATACTTGAGGGAAAAAGACCTTTGAGTCACTATTTGAAGCTTTGGGCAGAAAGATTTGTTTTCCTTTTGTCCCTAAAAAGTTTATCCAAATATGTGACAGAGCTAAAAAACGTAAGCGCTATGTGAAAGAGCGCAAAAACGCAATCATCAATCAATCCATCTATCTATTTATAATTAATCAGGCGAAAACCAATCATTTTGAGTCAATTATTATTAACTCAAAATGTGAGTTAATAATAAGGATGTTTTATTCTGAAAGCAAAAAAAAATCTTGTATAAAAAATGTAAAAACAATGCAATTACCTGTGATTAATTTGGATCATTTTTTATCCATATTTTCTCTCATTTTCTATAATTGTTTTGTAATCAATTCCCAGCCTTATTATGCAGTGGCCATTTTTTTGGACTTGGGATATGGGGGACCTCTGCTGGTGCTTCATGTGATCAGTGTTGGTATAGGGAGTAACGCACTAAATGTATAAATAATATATAACATTCAGAACACTTTGAATATTTGAAGCACTAAATTTAGAATAGTTACGTTACCAAAAAAACAAAGGACTAATACTATGTTTACTCTTATTATTATTGTTGATAAATTAAACACTATTTTTCAATTGTTGATTATTATTTTTAAACTATTGATTTTTTTAAAAACTATTATGGAATATGTATTCCAAATATAATTCTATTTACCACTATAATTCAATTAAATGTGGAAGCATCCCAAGTACTTTGAACATTCTGATTGAACCAGGTAACAGAACACATAAAAGAGGTATTTACTCTTCAGGAACCAAAAACACGTGCAAGTGTTTTCCTCCAACAGTGAGTATATCTAACTATAACTGCTACATGAATATAGTTTGAACTCTTGGGGGCGCTGCTGCTTATGCTATGTTTTCTATCAGCTCAGGGCTTGTATTTTTAATCGTATGTAGAGATTGGAGTTTGTGGGTTAGACAGATCCATATTTTTTTATATTACAGAATGTATTCAACTGGATTGCTTTACTTGTGTTTTTAAAAACACATGAATGTTTTTGGGGTACTTTTTGTGAGTATTGCACATTTTTATTGTCAGCTGAATAACGCCTTTTAGATAGAATACAATTCAATACACGATTGTAGTTCAGGGTATTTTACGTATATCGTTATAACTGTATTTGTTGCTGTCCTAAGAAATTCATATACATTCATTTCATTCATACATTTTTTAAATTCAACAAATAAATCAAACTGCTACAAGGCTTTCAGAAAAGTAACAACATGAAAATAGAACAACGTTTTGTTTTGATTTATAGCCGAACCTCACAGTAGAATGTATGTTTTTGTGGCAGGGCTCTGAACATAGTCATTGTCTCATGAGGTAATGAGACATGCACATTTGTACTTTAAATCTCTTGGCAATAATGCACTATATGTATATCATTTTGCTGCTGGAGTCCTACCTTGTGCTGTATGTTCTAATCTGCAGGGATTCTCCAATGTGGGAGCTTTGTTTGCATTTTTATTTCACTCATAATTAAATGTAAACTTTGCAATTTGTGTCTGTTATTATTTCTTATGACTAAAATCTTGATCTGAGGTTAGGGTTCGGGAACATATTGTTGCTTGTTTCAGTACATGTAAGAGTCTACATTGTAAATGCAGCAAAAAGTTAAATAACTAAAGTTTTAAATGTAAAGTGGCGCCACCTGTCTGTGAAAGCCTGATCCTGTCAGCTAAGCAGCCAGGTCCTGGTTAGTACTGTGATGGCAGACCTCTCAAACACTTCAATCATTTCGCCTTCACTGTGAGTGGTGGTTGGAGGAGCATAAGACACAGATTAGTTGGCTTGCATCTGCCAAGTCCGATTCAGATTCATTTATTTGCCATTTGCAGTTTAACCACATTGGAATAATTTGCAAAAGTCCCCAGTGTGGACAATACAAGTACATAAAGTGGCTATAATATGCTATATTATAGCTTAAAATAGCAGTTATTGGATGTGAAATGTCTTGGGGTGTCATGAAAAGCTGTATGCAAGTCCTATGCATTGTTGTTCTTAAAGTGAAATATCTTGGATTTTTCTAAGACAAAACGTTAGACTCAAGTTCAGGATTTTCAAGAATATTGTATAAATCTTCTTATTTTGTCATACTTAGTATATTTCACTATTTGTCATTGTTTTAGGACCATATCTGGATCACATTCCTGTAGTGAATCTTGTATGCTGCTCAAGGCAAAAAAAACCTTTTCAAAACAGCGCACCTGCACAACGAGGAGTTTGGCTCAAGTCCTGCTGTTGATTCACAAGAAAAAGAACAAGTTTGATCTTGAACATGGACAAGTGAGGACTGAACAGTTTGCACTTCTCTTAAACAACCCCAACAATGATTAGATTGAAGTCATCACCTTTATTACAGCTGTTGGCATCACACTGGGGTTAAGTCAGATACAAAGTGTTCTATGTTTTTATATGGTCAGCACTAGATCATATACGGAATCGGGACGGAAGCGGAAGTAAATATAACAAAATACCTATTTATGCCTAAACTTAACCAGCCATTCCCATTAAATAACCCCAACCCAGCCTTAACACTAACCTTAACCATCTTACCTAGACACCTAAAACTTAACCAGTCACCATTTAAGGACTTTCCATTAAGGAAAGTAGGATTGTTACTTCCGGTTTCGTCCCGATTCCGTATATGATCTAGTGCCGACCGTTTTTATATCCCCTACAACAGGGAAGATATTGTCATTGTGTGCGTGTGTGTGTGTGTGTGTGTGTGTGTGTTTTTCAGGGTTTTTTTTCAGAAGTACAGTGGTGGTGAGTGGTGATCTGAGAGTTAAGTTCCACTGCCAGCAGAAAATTAATTTATCTCAATAACTAACTTCCACAGAAATGATGCTACTGTTCCGTGTCACAGCTTGCAGCTCCTCCTTGTTGTTCCCATATCGAGCAGAAGACTAGATGCTGGCTGCGACTGAGACCGGTCAGACAGGTTTCGGTCTCAACACACACAACTCGCGGCATCTTCTAATAAAACTGTCAACTTTGTTTGTTGAGCGCTAAATACTGTTAACCCACTCACACACACTTGATCTTTAGTCATTGTACAATACTTCAATACTATAGCTAAAAGTGCCTTTTACAAATCTCTTTTGAAGTAAGAAATTGTGGATATATTATGAAAATAAAAATTGTATATGTTCAGACTCTAAGGCCTATACAAATTGTGTTTTATTAGTCCTATGTGGCAATATGCTGGACCCAGATTTGGACCATTTTTACCACCCCACGTGAATACTTTTTGCTCTGCATGGCCCTGGTTCTAATCATAGTAATGAAAATGTAGAAGTGTAGAGTAGACAGTGATCAGGGGCCAAGTAAGTCATGTTTTAAGAATTGTTTACAATCATGTTCTATAATCATTCAAAGTTAAGAATTTGGCGTACTCTTACACTCATAAGGTCTTTGTCAGTCTCATGGTGCATTGACCTGGTTTGCTCAAAGTTTTTGCCATAACAGTCAGAGCCGATGGAGCAGAAGTAGCCCAGTTCTATGACAACGCAATTAAACATGGCTGATGGTTGGTCACTAAACGTCACATCACTGGGAGTAAGTCAGACCTGTTCCCAGTGAATGTTGGACTCTGCCAAGGCCTCCCTTTGTCACCAGTTCTGTTCACTGTCTTTACGGACAGAACTTCTAGGGGCATGAAAGGTTTGGAGGTTCAGAGACAACAAGATTTCATCTCTGCTGTTTGCGGACGATGTTTTCCTGTTGGCTCCAAAGAGCCAGATCCTGCAGCATGCTCTGGGACGGTTTGCAGCCGAGTGTGAAGCGGCTGGGATGAGAATCAGCACCTCCAAATCTGAGGCCATGGTGCTCGACCGGAAAAAGGTGCCTTGCCTTCTCCAGGTGGGTGGAGAGGCCCTTCCTCAAGTGGAGGAGTTCAAGTATCTCGGGGTCTTGTTCACAAGTGAGGAAGATTGACAGGCGGATCGGTGCGCAGTGATGCGGTCGCTGTATCGAACCGTTGTGGTAAAGAGGGATCTGAGCCGAAAGGCAAAGCTCTTGTTTTACCGGTCAATCTTCGTTCCCTCCCTCACCTATGGTCATGAGATTTGGGTAATGACGAGGTCGCGTATACAAGCGGTCAAAATGAGCTTCCTCCGCAGAGTGGCTGGGCGCTCCCTCAGAGACAGGGACTCACACGGGAGTCCCTGTCTCTGAGAGTTTGGAGTAGAACCGCTGCTTCTCCACGTCAAGAAGAGCCAGTTGAGGTGGCTTGGGCTTCTGTTCCTGATGCCTCCAATAAAATATTGTTTGTTTCCTGAATGTTCTGTTTTAGTTGGAGATCATCCAATCACAAAAAGACTTTGATATCTGATGTTACATAGAAGGGTGCGGTAGAATTATAGTGACTCTTTAGATAATACTTCTTTGATAGTGGGTGAGAAACAAACGGTTGTGTGTGCGACATCAGAAAGTGAAATAAGTGAGTCACAGGACGTCATCCTTAGAACGCAATTATAACACAAACATTTTGAGTGTGGCTTAATCTTGATAATACAGAATGAGTCAAACACTTTGGGACAGTTGTCTCTCCAATGTGATAATCAATAAGCGCTTTTCATAAAAATAAAATGCAACACAAAGTGCTTTACATTCTGGTTACCTTCAGGTTGACGGGTCATATACCCATGACTCCTCAGCCCAACCACCCATCAGGCCAGCTCTAAACCACATACAGTATATTAAGTACATGCACACACGCGCGCAGACATATATGCACACATATAAATGCTCACTTAAAGATGCAAGCGATGTTAGCTTAGTTGTAGTACCAACTCGAAAAATATGCGTTAGGTGCAGATGTAACCAGCTGAAAAGAGAGAATGGGACGGATTCTGGCAATATTCTTTAAATTATAAAAAACCTATTTTTGTGATGTTCTTAATGTGGGTAATAAAAGTCAAAAATCACGTTCAGGTGACAATGGATTAAAAGAGTATGTTTGGAGCCTCAGGGCCTCAGGACCAATGACTAAAATGTCAGTATTGTCCTGGTAAAGCTGGAGAAAAATGTCTGCCATCCAGGATTTCTTCTGCTTTTTCCTTTGCCGGGGTACGAGGGCAGCAGTCTAAGCAGAGACTTCCCTATCCACATGCACTTCCTCCAGTTCATCTGGGGGTATTCTGAGGCGTTCCCAGGCCCAGCGAGACATGCCCGGAACAACTTCCTCACCTATAATATATTGTTTAATGTACCATTGTGGGTCCATTGACATTTTATTACATTCTGCTACATTTCACATTTCAATTAAACTCAGTTTGAGCAGTGTGGACATGGAGGGGGACGCAACCACTGAGGCGCCAATAACCAGTGCTCTAAGTATAGAATGGTAAAGCTCTATGATTATTTTTTGTGAATTCATTTTATCAATTGTTTCTAGGCAATGGTGTAATCTAATAAAATGTAAGAGTCAAACTGAGCTCTATGACAATAAACACAAAACTATAGGAAAGAGGTTCAGGATTCTTTACTTTTATTTGTAAGTAAATGTGTCTATAATTTGAGAGAGCTTGTCCCATACACACAATGCTACCCACACTTTCACTTTGTTCATTACAACAATAGCAGCTACTATTAATGAAAGAAATCCAATCTTACTTTTAAGCTTACATTTAGCAAAAAAGGACAAATGATAAAAAATGAACAAAAGGAAGCTCATATCTCAGGTGTCTGACTGTTTGAGATATGAGTTGAAAAAAGCGCAGATAATCCATCTGATTTATCTTCACTTTTCAAAGGACGCCGCTCGCCCAGGGCCACACCCCTCCTAAACATGTACCATGAGTTTGACGCGTAAAGAGAGGGGGAGGAGACAGGGGGAATGTACTCAATAACAGACACATAACTTGCTGCACAGACAGAACAGAATCTGCAGAGACCTAGAGAAGAACCAAGACCTGCAGGACCGGGAGATAAGACAAGCCTTGAGATCCGTGGAGAGGGCAGTCATGGCAGGCTGCTCCCGTCGACAGGTGCTGCTGGTGCTGCTGATGGTCTTTCTGACGCTGGCTGTGGTGAGTCTCAGATGGACGGGACGGATGGACGAATTAACACAAAACAAGTGTGATACATATTAGTTCAATGGAGGAAAAGGAGTGAATGGGTAACAAATATATTGCTAGCTTTAAACCTGGAGTACCTAGCTTTGAAACCACTAAAATAATATCAAATTTGTTTGATATTAAATATCAACATTGTCATGTTAATTTTTAACTTTATGGTTTTGCCTTTTTTTGCTTATAACTTTGTAACTTTTGTAAGGTAATGATTGCTTGAATTTAGATTTTTGTTATATTCATTTGAGCACATTTGAACAGATTTGCCAATGGGACAAAGCCAGTTAGTCATATTTCAAGAACTGTTGCTTTATTTTTTCATTCCAAGGGAAACATTTATCTTTTTAAAATAATCATTTAAAAAGATGTCTTGTCCCATTGGCAAATCTTGTTTTTGCAGAAAGGCACCATATAGATAAATCATTATTATCATTATTAGTATTATTTGGATCAGCTTTTTCTGGAAAAAGTATTCATGAAAGAACAACAATAACAAGTTAGATACTCCAGTTTGAACAGAAAGTGGGTGGAAAATAGAATGCGTGCTTTGAATGTACCTTTAGTTAGCGTTTTTCCCATAGACTGTATATATTAACGGACAGAGTAACGCCTATCTCCGCCGTTTTAACTAATGGGCCAAAAAATGTGCTCTACTGGAGCTATCCAAAATGGCCGCGAGTGGTCCCGCCCACAAGAAAATTGTGAAAAAACGCATCTGCGCATGCGTCAGCCGGCGAGAGCTCCATTCATTTGAACGAGAGACTTCAGAAATTCACAGCAAGTAAACTAGAATGGACCAAAAAAAGTCACCCCCCTCAGCATTGACACACATGTGCCAACTTTTGGTCCAGTTTTTGAGAGGTCTGCCAATGCTATATGTTAGCATTGGCTAATTCTTCTTCTGGGTCCACCCCCATCGGCCCGGGGTGGTAGCATGTCAGCGCACATCATATTGGCCACTTTTGAGCTGGGACCTGCCCCCACTGGTTTTAATTCAAAAATGTGTTGAAAATGTGTTCTAGCCGTGTTGTAATGTTGATAATTGGCTCAACATAATTGGTTGAAAAACAGAAATAAACCAACTTCAATATTCTAGTTTCCAGAGTTTTACCTGGATGAATAAAGAACTGTAAAGAGAGTAGAGTAAGGATTGTTATGATAGGCTGTGTGACAGCTTTGCGTGAAGAAGATTAGACCTGTTATTTTATCCGTGCTTTCCGGAGCGAGTGTCAGGGATATGTCTGAACCTGTTTTCACACTAATCCCCAAAAATACAACACAAATAATCCATTATAAGATTACGCCGAAAATAGAAAGATGGTAAAATTGTGAACTTGTTATTTCTCCAAAAGTGTTTTTTGGAAAGAACTAAGCTTGGGACAGAATGTATCTCTCCCATGACAATGTGTGGTCTAAATATGCATAATTTAAAAAGTTAAGTGTTTGATTCTCCCCATGCACACAAATATAGATTTTAAATAAGAATGTAACCAAGATAACCCATTTTTTCCAGATCACGGGTTATTATTAGCGTCCATTCCCATTAGGATCCACCCATAAATATTAGTAATATAGGTACAGTATATGAGGGGGGGGGGAATTCTGTTCAATTTAAATTTGTATCTGCTTCAATTCAATTAAATAATAACTATTGTTGATTGTTATATATCAAAATGGTTGCTTCATTACAAACTAGCAGCAGGAAACTAAGGAACTTGAATGAATGAACTGAAATTACCCTCTTTATGTCAAAAGATATAATTGATGGAAATCTATTAGTTTGTTATTTATGAAAAAACCTAAAAGAGAAAGCAGACATTCAGGCCCATCCTCCAAATACTGTATGTGAAAGTGCACTGGTTATGTCACGTTTTAGACCTGCCTCTAGTTCTAGTGTTTTCTTGCATAAGTCCCGGCTTTGAGAACTGGTTTCAAGTCACTTTCAATTCACTTTTTACTTAATGGATCCGTTCACTTTCTCTGGTTCAATTAGATTCATGATTTAACGTGGAAGATTATAACCTGTGTGTGTTAGTGCTTGTTAAAAATGCTGTTAGTTTCACCATTTTGAGTAAGAAACCTTACATTTTGGCTTCCTCTGAGCGAGCCTGGGTCTGTATCAGTGGGGGAGGGTCCCAGCTCAAAAGTGGCCAAAATGACGTGACGGTCCACCCTGGGCCGATGGGGGTGGACCCAGAAGAAGAATTAGCCAATGCTAACATATAGCATTGGCAGACCTCTCAAAAACGTCTTTACAGGATGGACCAAAAGTTGGCTCTTGGCCCAAAGCTCTGTTCCACATGTGTGTCAATGCTGAGGGGAGTGGATTTTTTTGGTCCACTCTAGTTTACTTGCTGTGAATTTTTGAAGTCTCTCATTCAAATGAATGGAGCTGCGCCGGCTGACGCATGCGCAGATGCGTTTTTTCACAATTTTCTAGTGGGCGGGACCACTCGCGGCCATTTTGGATTGCTCCAGTAGAGCACATTTTTTGGCCCATTAGTTAGAACGGCAGAGATAGGCGTGACTCTGTCCGTTAATATATACAGTCTATGGTCTGTATATGTCTGGTCTAAGTCTCTCTGGCTGTGTGGTGCATTAAAAAGATGAGAGGGTGACCTAGGGACTGGCCTCAGGTGTGGTCTGGGACTGGCCTGACTTGGGGCGCTGGGCCTTTCTGGGGAACATTGATCGTTGTTGCTGTCTTAGCTTCATTGAAATGCTTAAACTGACTTTTGTTGTTATTATTATTATTATTATTATCATTATTGTTCAATATTCAAAGTGTATCTATAAATAATAAAAAGTAAATCATGTACGTGGGGTGGGAGTCTATAAGTATGCTTCTTCCCACTCCATTTTGAGCAGATAATTTGTCAATAAAGTTGTAAATAAAACTGTAAATAAATATAACTGTAAATACTGTATATATGGAAGAACTAAAGAAACTACAGTACAGACCAAAAGTTTGGACACACTTTCTCATTCCATGAGTGCCCTTTCTTTTCATGATTATTGACTGTAGATTCACATCCAGACTGTGTAAGGGCTATTTGACCAATAAGGAGAGTGGTGGGTGCTGGGCCAGATGACCTGGCCTCCACAGTCACCGGACCTGAACCCAATCCTGATGGTTTTGGACCTGAACCCAATCCAGATGGTTTTGGGACTGGACCACAGAATGAAGGCGAAAGGGCCACCAAGTGCTAAGCATCTGTGGGAACTCAGACCATTTCAGGTCCTGTTGAAGCTCATCAAGAGAATGCCAAGAATGTGCAAAGCAGTAATCAGAGAAAAAAGGTGCTACTTTGAAGAACCTAGAATATTTTCAGGGGGGGATGTCTGCCTGAGTGCTACCGAGTTCTCGCGAGACGGTGCGTGAATCAACATGGCGGCGCGCTGCTGCTAGGATAACAAAACTTTTTCTCCCGCTTCTTGTTCTTCTTTCCTGCCGTTTTTTCCACATCTGATATCTCCCTCAATACAAACTGGATTATAACTCGGATCTCGACCACCTGCAAGATTTTATAGACGAATCTTACAACAGACTCTGCGCAATGCCGAATGGTAAAACTAAAAAACGCCGCCACATAAGCTCCTCAGCCAATGCCTCGGCCGAGTCATCCACAAACTTCTCCCTGTAAAGCCCCCCCGGATTCTGAAATCACCAACATCCTCATATCCATAAACGAAAAACTATCGAACCTGGACACCAGACTTTCCCTCATCGAAGTTCTTCACAAATAATTCCAAAACCTCCGCCAGAGCCTTGAATTCAATCACCAACAACTCGAATCACTCACTAAAGAAAATAACTCACTCAAAACTACAGTTGCCTCACTCAGCTCTCAACTCTCATCTACTTCCACCCAACTCTCCTCCACCTCAGCTGAGCTGAAAACATTGAAGGAAACCATATTGGATATACAGTCACGCAGTATGAGAGACAATATGATATTTACCGGCATCTCTGAACCATCCTCCACCCCCGACAACCCCGAAAAGGCTGTTAAGGACTTCATGGTGAATCATCTAAAACTCCCCTCAGAAACTGTAGAGCACATCACCTTTCACCGCGTCCACCGTCTAGGATCCAAACTCCCCGCGCCCACCCGACCCCAGCCAATCATCGTAAAATTCGAACATTACAAACAAAAGGAGCTCATACAACGACAAGGCAGACAGCTAAAAGGGACACATTTTGGACTCAACGACCAATTTCCACAAGAAATCAACTTCCGACGTAAACAGCTATTTCGCCCAAGGTAAAAAAGCAGTAATTACAGTAGACAAACTTTACATTGATGGACAATTATTCAAAGACAAAGAAGTCACTCCATGGTTATTCTAAATTGAACTAAACTGAAATGTATATAATGCTGAGACATTCATCTTTTAAGGTTACCTCAAGTCTACCCCCCCTCTTCTCCTCTCCTCTCTTCTCTTCTCCTGGGTAAGTCACACTCTTACACAGATATTTAGCTTGCACATCGCACGTAAGTCTCTGTTTATAACATGTGCATGCACTATACTCGTTATCTGTCCTGTGTTGTCTTTTTACCTATCTATGTTTTGTTTGTACCTCACATGCACACGCTCACACACGCACACACAAACACACATACACTCATACTCGCACACAGCAGTGGCATGGATGAAGTCTGCCAAACAACTATGCAAGTTAACTTTTTAACGTGGAACGTCCGTGGAGTTGGCTCTTACTAAAAAGAATGAAGGTCTTGAACTATTTAGATAAAATGCAACCTGACATATGTTTACTGCAAGAAACACACCTCACACAATCTACACATAATAGCTTAAAAACAAATAAATTCAACTGCTCATTTGCCTCATATTATAACTCAAAACAAAGAGGAGTAAGCATATTAATAAACAAAAAAATCAAATTCAGCCATCACACAACCAGCTCTGATCCAGACGGCCGTTTCATTATAATT